TGGGACATTTATTATAGTTAATAAAAATTTATCGAAATAGGCAAAGTGATTTTAATAGTTGAATTTTTTACTTTTAGTTGCTGAGTTCTATCGTGGTTGTGGGTGGAACGAACATGGCAGGCGTGTTGACGCACCACCCCAGAGAATTGGCGCAGAGGCAGGCCTTCCTCGAGACCAGGCAATGCGTCGAGGCTCGTTTGACCACTCAACGGGAAAACCAGCAACAGGTAACGCGAAAATTCGAATTCATCCCCTAACCATAAATCATTTTCTCAATAATAATTAAATACTTTGCATTCTATTATTTAATAGTCATAATCATAATCATAATCTTACTTGAATCGAAACACATTCTATTAATATTTCTACATTTCTGGTTTCTATAAGTTTATATTAATAAGTTATGTTATATTATTTAATTATTAAGTTCAGTNTAGAATGCCCTATTTTGCGCCCTAGGTACACAATGTACTATTATGCAACAGCTTTTTAGAAATTATTTTTTTTATAATCCTTAAAGTTTCACAATTTTTCTATAAATTCATGTAACTAAGTTGTTTAATTATAATAAAATTGCAAATGTTATTACGTTGGCTCTGATAGGATTACGGTTTCAGTTTTGCATAGAATAATTCAATCCTAGGATTTGAACTACTAAATCCTATTAATTTATACGAAATTCGTGCTAGCTGATGTCTAACTAGAAAACATTTATCATACTATTAACATTGTTTGATTAATTTTAACAACATAACCTCCTGGAATTTTTGTGGTTGGAATTATACAGTGTTAAAAGACTGGCAGCCAATGAGAATTACGTTTTGGGCGAGAAGTGTGTGGGCTGAGCGAATGGCATCTTGGGATTTATTAGTCAGTCAGAGTTTCCGGCGTAACATAATTAATTAACCAAACGGATAGGAACACTACAGGGGATTCGACAGCTCGTAACTAATGTCGACAAACGGAACCCAATTGCGTCCTGATTTCATTCCTGCGAATATTATACGGAAACAGTTTATGGACAATTTTCCTTTGGAATCCCGGCGGGATTTCAGCTCGCTCTCTCCGGGCCTAGCGACGAGCCCGGAAGCCTCGTCGACGTTTGAAAAAGCAAGCAATTTTAAAAGCATATTTCCGTGAAGCATGCCACGCGAATTCTCGTGCGATACGACTAAATTGCGTTCCGCCTCACAGCCAACCGCCCCCTAAACTGGTTCCGCTCAGGACACGGGGAGGACTCTCCCGGCTACAGCGAAATCTCACGTTTTCTCCCACGGTTTTTTTTTTTTTTCTTCTTTTTCAGGAACGACTTCTATTGAGCGTGCTCCCGCGACATGTAGCCATGGAGATGAAAGCCGACATCGCTGGCAAACCGAAGGACACCATGTTTCACAAAATTTACATCCAGAGGCACGAGAACGTCAGGTGAGAGCACTGACACCCAACGGAGTATGAGATGGAAAAACATGAAACGCTTGGAAGTTGTTGACTTTTAGCGAATTTAATAGATGGAGCTACTATAGTCGATTTTTTTCAGACTGTAACTGTTGGTCTTGGGGTACTTGCTTCCTTTAAAGCGTTTAGCTACATTTCTGGAATCTATGTATTCTCTTTCAGTTATTAGTAGATTGATTTCTTAAACTTTATCTCTTCTATTCTCACGTCTCATTTCTTCTTTCATTTTCCCTATTTGGTTTACATGTTTGTGTACTATTACATTTTTGAACTGACTTCATTCCACCTCTCTTCTTCTTATCTCTTCTTCTTCTTCTTATCCTACAGTTTTGTGTAGTGTTTTTTAAGTGATCCTCCTTGACCTACGCTTTCTATATTCTCTGTTATTTAAAACAAAACACGTTTTCTACTTATCCGAACGAAACAACTTTTAATTCGTATTTAAAAAGTCAATCTACTGACTCAGTCCTTTTATAAACTTAAATAAACTTCTGTTCCTGTTTAAAAAGAACTTAAACAAAACAAGTGTAACTTTCAATTCTTATGCATAAGAGAAATTTCACTTTCTTCCTTTTAGCTAACAGAAATCTCTTTTAAGCAGAACTTAACAAGTTTCTTTTAA